GGTGCCGGTGTCCTCGCGGCCCGGCTGTCGCGTCACCCTCTGCGCCGCCGCTGGTGCACCTCCCCCGTCGGGCCCGAACCTCCGCCCTCCAGCCCTGGACCCTCGGGTACCGAAGGGTGACGGGCTCGCCGCCCAGGAACGTGCACGAGGGCGGCGTCTCCGTCGTCCGGGAGGGGCTTTGGGCCGCGTTTGGATAGTCGGGGTGGGGGTGGGAGGGGAGGGGGGACCATCCCGCCCCGCGGAGGCGAGTGTGGGTGTCAGGTTGAGGCGCGGACACTCAGGAAGACGTGGTGGTCGCGGGTAGAACCGGGAAAAACCGGGGAGGGGGGGCTGGAGGCGAGGTGCCCCCCGGAGAGGGCGTGCAGAGCTCTGGCCACCCCGCGGTTTCCCGAGCAGCTGTGCGGAGATTGTATGGCTGTCAGCTTCCTTTTTTTAAAAGTTTTCCTATCCTTTTGCTTCTCCCAGGCCAGCGTCCCCATTCCCCGGGCCCGGTGTGCCCCCTCGCGTGCCCGTCCACACTTCCCTCCTGTGGGCTTAGAGCGAGTTGTTAGAACTGACACCCAGTCCGCAGATGGCAAGCCAGAGCCTGCGGAAGTCTTTGATGAATCAGTGTTTTAGCTCCAGCTCCTGAATGTAAAAGCTCATAGTGGATTCTGATCCTGAAATCGGGATAAACGAGGCCTCCGTGGTGACAGGTCTGCACACATGTTCCTCTTCTGTGACAGTGGTTGTGGGTCATTGGCCCTTGAGGGGGATTGGGGAACTCGGGGGTGGGGGCCCCCCAGGGACCCATCTGGGTTGCCCGCCCTCTTGATCATTCTGTCAGGGCCCCAGGGACTGGGAGAACCTTCTGGAAGGACAGATCTCTGGACTGACATGCAGAGTGTTAGGTATTAGAGTCCTAGTGAAAGGAATACAGACTCAGAGGCAGGTGGGTTCCAGTCCAGCTCCACCGCTACTGCCTGTGACACTGCTGGCCCGGCCAGCTCTGCCTGCCTTTGCGGGCAGAAGTGCCTTTTCCGAGAGTCTGCACAATACTGGTAAGTGCCAGAGGGACTGCAGGGGGTGTTTGCTATGGGGCCTTCTGATTGTAGAAAGTAGCCATGTTCTTTGCAGAAAATTCATAGAACAAAGAAACATTTTAAGTGTACGATTTTATGCATCTTGACATATGTACACACACACCTGTGTTTCTTCTTCTTGAACGACTGTGAGCCTTTGCTTCCCTCTTAAAGATCCAGATCTGAGACAGGGACTCTGTCCGGTTCACTGCCTCGTCCGCAGCTGCTCGCACACTGAGCACGTGCGGGAATGTGGACCCCATGCCTTCGGTTCATCCGGGGGACCATATGGTCTCTCTACCCTCCCTAGTCTTTCGCAGTAGGAAGTAGGACTCTGTACCCTCTAGTCTTGGGGTTCTTCCAAAATGGGGAGGCTGTGGGATACCGGCAGCCAGTCCACCAGCATCCACAATAGCCCCTCATCTGTCTCGGTCTCGCCTGCCTCCACCCCTTCTCCATGCAGGCAGGGCAGTGTTTCTGAGATGCAGGTGCTTTCCCCTCAGGGGAAGTGTAAGCGTCTGTGTGATCTGCGCCCCTTTTCTCTTGGCCCTGCCACTCAGCCTCAGCTCACTCCTGTTCCCTTAAACAGAGCTTCTAGCCACACTTAGCTTTTGGGTTTGTCCGTCCGTCTGTCGTGTCGTCCCGTCCGTCCCCCCCGCCATTTTCCATGTTTGAGGAAAACACATAAAGTTGCAGGTTAAACTATTTAATAGAATAGATGTTTTAAGCACCTTAGAAACACCCATCTATATAATAAAAGCCTAAGCAACCGTTAAGACCAGTCGACTGCTCAACCGGTTGACCAGTTGCTATGATGCACACAGACCACCAGGGGGCAGGTGCTCAATGCAGGAGCTGCCCCCTGGTGGTCAGTGCGCTCCCACAGCAGGAGCACTCCGCTGCTCAGCCAGAAGCCAAGCTCATGGCTGGCAAGTGCAGCTGTGGCAGCAGGAGCCTCTCCCGCCTCCGCGGCAGCGCCACTGAGCGGCAGCAATGGCAGGCACAGCGGGCCAGGGTGAGCAGGAGCGGCGAGGTGCCCGGCCCCAGCTTGGGCTCCTCCCTGGCCGCCTGTCACTTCGCACACTGCTACAGCTCTCGGATCGACCGAAACCAGCAGTCTGACAACACCCAAGGGGTCCCAGATTTCGAGAAAGAGCAGACCAGGCTGAGGGACCCCACCAGTGCACGAATCCGTGCACCAGGCCTCTAGTTTAATAATAAAAAGACACCTTATGGACTTCAAAGAATTCATCCCTTACCACTCTTGCTTCAGGCCTCGCCTGCTCACCTGTCTCCATCTAGACCCTCAGGATGGCCATCGTGGGTCCCGGACCTGGGCTGGGTCTTCCTACTGCGTGTTCCCCCCATTCACATGCGTTGCCCTTCTCTGCCCTACAGTTAAGTCAAGTGCTTGTTGCCTGTTGGACAACAGAGTGTAAGCCACTGGAGGGCAGGGCTGTCTGTCTTGCTGACTGAGTAAACCAGATTTATGTTCAGATAGCTGCCCTAGTGGTGGTGAGGAGAGCTGAGTGCTAACAAGTTGCAGCTACAGACTGACAGCCTGTTGGCGAAGAATGACCAGGATGTGCTTTTCCTTCGCCTCAGCAGTTTCACATCTAAGATTCATCCCAAGGAAATGAGATTTTTGTGCATGGATGTGACTCACCTTCTTATTTATGGCTTGCAATATAGGAGATGGCATAAACGTCCAGCAGTGGGGTTGAGAACTCACACCACACTGTGCACCCATTAAAAATTACACCATAACAGGTGAACCTTCTGACTTGGCAACATGTGTCACCTAATAAATTAAGACACAAAATAGGTTATAGAGAAGTATGATCCCAATTTTTAGAAATATATACTCTAAAATGTTTATTGTCCTTATTTTTGGAAGATGAGGCTATGAGTGGTTTTTTTCTTTGTTCTATGAGTTTCTGCAAAGAACACGGCTACTTTATTTCTCACGGCTACTTTTTCAGAAAAAATTTTATTTCCAATATTAAAAAGTAATCTAGCTTATAAAAATCATAAGTATAATAAACCCTCATATTTATATGGCTTTATTTTAAGATAATTTAAGAATTTTGGACTGGGCAGATTTTACTAAACCTGAGGCAACTAATGAGAAATGTTTAATGAATAAATTTATAATCTAAATGAAATCACATCACACCAATTTATGAAGTCGGTCTTGTAGAGCTCACTTTGCAGATAAGAAAAGTGAAGCATATAGAATAAGGTAACCTGCTCAGAGTTTCATTGCACGGAAGTGGCGGTTGGGCTTAGAGTGGTTTTATCCCAGAGCTTTTCCTTCTGTCGTCAGTACTGCCCAGCGCTGCCCCGTCTTTCCAGGATACAGTGTGCAGGGGTCTGCCACCAGCTCCTGAGCGTCTGCATCTTCTTTGCACCAGTCTGACTCTTGGCACCAGTGGTCCTGGCAGCTGTGGGAGGTCTTCCAGGGCATCCGAGTCTGGACATGTACCTGGGCATAGTCAAGTGCATCGTGGTAACTTCAGGCTTCTCATTTCTTGTGTGAGTAAGCTTCTTCCTCTGACAATTAAAAAAGTAAGGAAGACTTTATTCCAGACTTGCCATAGGAGGGAGAGGTAGGGCTCAACTTCAAATAGGGCTGAGGCATCTGTCAGCAGGCAGAGTGAAGGATCAGCAAGAATCAGGCAGGGGATTCTCTCTCTACACTGACTCAGCAGCATTCTTGAGTCAACTGGACTGGGCAGGGCCAGCAGGAAGCCTAGGGTTGTGCCTTGTGGAGAAGAGGGCCCTGGGGAGCCTGCTTGGCGTTGGTCCAGGAGAGTGTCTGTCAGTGCCCAGTGAGCCTGTGGACAGCCCTCAGACAGGTGGAGACCACCTGAGTGGCAGCTGCCCTTAGCTGACTTGCTCGCCTGGTTGTCTGTGGATCCATAAATACCCGGGAGACATCGAGCCAACACTGTCCCACAAGCTGCCCTGGGACAGTCCTCCTGGAACCCTCAATCCCAGTTCACACCTTCTGTGTACGGATTCCCCATCAGTTGCTTTTATTTTGGTGGCGCGAGCGGGGAGGAAAGGAGCTTCTGAAGAAAGCAGACTGTCGATGCCCCACATCAGCCCTGAGGGGCCTCCCTAGGTGGACCAAGGCCCAGCCAGCATGTGGTCATTGAAGACGCAGAAACGAAGCATGGAACGAAAGGACTGATTCGTCCTAGTCCTCCAGGGCCACTGGTGAACATCCACCTGGCACCAGGGTGTGCCTCTGGCTTTCCTCTTCACTCCTGG